TCTTCCTGCCATTATTACAGTATTTCTCATACCGGGTTATTATTTAAATAAAAATTTATTTCCCCCACTTGCAATGGAACTCCCTGAGGACCAACTCTCTGAGGATCTCATTTACCCCAGCATCCAGCCCCCATGCCCTGCACAGACACTACACAGAAATATTTGTTGAGGCAAAAAAGGCTTGAATAATTACCACAAATGACTCTCCTTTCTCTTCTGGAGAGGTATAGGCACAAGAATATGAAAACTTCTCCCTTACCTTCCCTAGTTTACTGTGACCCAGGCAACAGAGGAGTCTTCCAGAAAAAAAAGAAAGTTTTCCTTCAGAATTAGCAAGACTGACATGGTTTTCTGAATAAAACTATGAATCTAAGAGAATCAAAGAGACTTGACATGAGAGACAAGGACAAAAGTTTCAGCAGAGTCCCAGCTAACTGTCCCAGGGACAGAGCCACACCCAGGCTTGGCAACCCTCTCTCTGCATGTTCTGGGAGTGGAGTGAAAACAGCTCGATTCTCAATCAGCGTTATTATTTATATCTTCTTGACTTTGCACTGCTTTGGCAGAAGAGCCAATGGCCTAAACTAAAACTCCTGAGTATTTTTTTTTTAAGTTTATTTATTTATTTTGAGAGAGAACACATTCAAGTAGGGAAGGGGCAGAGAGAGAGATAGGGAGAGGGAGGGAGAGAGAATATCAAGGAGGCTCCGCACCACAAGTGCAGAGTCCAATGTGCAGCTCGAACTCATGAACTACATGACCATGACCTGAGCCGAAGTCTCAGATGCTTAACCAACTGAGCCAGCCAGACACCCCGGAATGCCTGAGTCTTGAACAAACTTAAATTTTATAGCCCCCAGTTCAGCAAGAATATCTTTGGGGAAGTGGTCATATAACATCTGGTTCTGGTGTCCTGTCCCTGTTTCCACCTCTGGATGAGCAGCCACATGGTTCAATCCCCTCTGAGCCTTCTCTTCAAGACTCTGCCCCTTGCAGGTTCCTGTGTAGTGAAAGCTATCACTGCACAGCAGAGGGCCATTAACATATCCTCTGCACTAGCCTGAGAGAATCTCTAGGACTTTGTCTCTCTAGAGCCTGAGCAAAGCTTCGACTCCCTTGGCTGGCATATAGTTGGCGTGTCAAGAATATTTCAACTGAATTCTAAATTTTCTCTGACTGGTCATGTTCAGAAAGTTTTGTAATGTGCTGTGTTGGCCAAGTTGTGAGGAAACAGGCACTCACATGTGCTGCCATTGGGAGTGTGCCATGGGACATCATCAATGGAAGGCAATGTGGCATAACTATCAAAGTTAAAAAAATCACATGCCACTGGAGTCAGAAAATTCTGCAATCATGAGTTGGCACCTACTGAGCATTTCCACATGCTGGGTACTTTCTGACACTATACATATATGAATTCATTTAGTTCTCACAAAAGCCCTCTGAGATAGATGGTATCATTGCCCCATTTTACAGATGAAGAAGCTTAAGCAAAGAGACTAAATCATTTGAGATTCTCTAGCCAATAAGAGCCCAAGCATCTGGTTCAGGGGTGAGCTTTCCTAACCACTATACTACACTATATCCCACTACAGAGCTATCCAGTGAAGTAGTCCCTGTAATGGAAAAACCAACCAAAATATCTATCATAAGGGAAAGGTTAAATATATTATGGTTTTTCTTTTTTAAAAAATGAGGTTGATATGGAGGTTTACTGCTGTGTTACAATCTCCTTAAATTTTCTCTATGAGGGGCGCCTGGGTGGCTCAGTCGGTTAAGCGTCCGACTTCAGCTCAGGTCACGATCTCCCGGTCCGTGAGATCCAGCCCCGCGTCGGGCTCTGGGCTGATGGCTCAGAGCCTGGAGCCTGCTTCCGGTTCTGTGTCTCCCTCTCTCTCTGCCCCTCCCCCATTCATGCTCTGTCTCTCTCTGTCTCAAAAATAAATAAACGTTAAAAAAAATTAAAAAAAAATTTTTCTCTATGAAATTTTAAGGTACAAAAAGTAGAGCACAAGGCAGTATGCTACCATTTGTAGAAAAAATAATATATTCATAATTATGCTTGCATACGCACAGTATAGCTCTGAGCAGATAGACAAGCAGATAGACAAGATAGGGAACTGGGGGGAGGAGGGATCCTTTTCATAGTATGCCTTTATATACCTTTTAAATTCTGTGGCACAAACATGGATTGATTATTTGAAAAGAAAACATGTTAAAAGAACAAACTCTACCTGTAAAGTATATAAGAGTTGCTTAATAGAAAACATAGTTTAATTTAATTTAAATTAAATTTAAATAGAAGTTTAATTCTACTTCTAAATGTCCACATAGTCTTAACACTGTTGATTTATGAATCTTTCTCTCCTCTAGCATCTAGCTCAGAGGCTGATACCTCCTAGCTATTCCACAAATGACTGGGGAATGAATGAATAATGTGCATGCAGAGTTGAACCAAATGGAACTGGTATTCTTCAAGGTTCCATGGGCAATTCTATGTAGGAGAGATACATACCACTCTCTAGAAACTGGGTTCATAAGGGACAATGTTCTAGACCAAGGAGGGTGGTAGGAGAGCCAAGTTTCATGGTGAACCAATTCATGGTTGTCAACATGCACTTGGATTTTGAACTTCTTCAGGGCTCTTAGCTACATCAGTGGTTCTCAACTGGGGGCAATTTTGTCCCTAAGAGACTCTTGATGACATCTGGAGACATTTTTGGCTGAGACATTTTTATCGGGGAGATGCTATTGGCACTTGGTGGGTAGTGACTGGGGATCAGGCAGAGAAACCCTGAGCTGCCATACCAGCTCTGGCCCTTATTCATCAGTCCTGGAACATACCTAGAATTTCTATGTTTGTGTATTGTCCCCTGAAAATGCAGCCAATGCACAATATTCCTGAGCTTATCAACCTTATTTTCACTGGAATCTCCTCACTCAGGATCCCAGCCAACTCCATCCGATCTCCCTGCCGCAGTCAGTGTGAGGAGCTGAGAAATATTCAAATATTTGAGGAAGAGTCTTTCTGAGAAACTGCACAGTGTGCTGGCGGGAAGTTCAGCTGTCCCTGGGGCTAGCAGTTCTTCTAACAGAAGGCTCGCTCATGAGGCTGGTTCTTGAGAAACTGCGGGAGAATGAAAATACCTGCCTACTTCTCAGGAAGACATCATCAGAAAGGATGGGTAGCCCCAGATCAGGAAGGACCAGCCCTATGGATGAAGGTGCCTTCAGCTTTCTCCTATGGGCTTATGTGGGAGCAATAAGGGCTGCTCAAGGATTCCCCCCAGTCTCTGGGTGTCAGAAAGGGAAACACAGGGAATCCTTGCCGCTCTTCTCAACCTCAAGACAGAGTTGAGGTCAGTTTTATCTGGGAGGTGTCTGGGCATGTGTTGATACTTTCACAAGGAGAGAAGAGGATCAGAACCATAGACAAGTAGTTCTGTTCTGTCCTGGCTGCTTGGATGCCTGTGACCATGGGCAAGTCACCCAACTGCTCTGTCATTCAGTTTCTTCCTCTGTAAAATGAGTACATTACAGGGTTGTCGTAAAACTCCAATGAAGTCATAGATGGGGACCGTGCTCTAGAACTGACCAGGTCCCATACAAATGTTGTTATTCAAGTCCTTATCCACCAGATTTTAGGCTCATTTTTACCCTGATGAATACGTGGTTAAGTATGAGCAATCCCAGTGGGGCAAGCCAGGGGACTGTTGGCAGGATCAGGGCTCAAGCTCTGGAAGTCTGAGGTCGAGGAAGAGAAACTGCCTGTTTCTGTAGACACTCAGGCACACGGATGTGATGAATAAGAGATGGGTGAGGGTGAAACAATGAGATTCAGACTCACATGTGTTTTCCCACATGGAGTATGAAGCGGACTGAAAATTTAGGGCAGTAATAAGTAAAATTTTACAGTGGTGGGCTTTTGATGGCTCCAGATGTGAAGGTTAATAACAGGAAAGCTGAAGCAAGAGGATCATCCAAGCCAGGGTGCTCAAACACTAACTTCACAGGAATTATCTGTTTTTGACATCATGCAACAAATGTTAAATGAGTGCCTGTGGTTTGCATTAAATTGTGCCCCCAGGGAGATATATTGAAGCCCTAGCCCCAAGTACCTACTAAGGTGACCTTATTTGGAAATAAACTTTTGTGGATGTAGTTAGTTAAAATGAGGTCAAACTGCATTAGGGTGGGCCCTAAACCCAACAACTGGTGTCCTTAGAAGAAGGTCCTTAGAAGAAGGTCTTCCTTAGTGAAGAGCCAGACGCATAGACACACGTGATGACAGAGGCAGAGCTTGGAATGATGCATCTGCAAACCACAAGTGCCACAGATTGCCAGCAGCCATCAGAAGCTGGTAGAGAAGCATGCAGGAGATTCCCCCTCAGAGCCTCAGTAAGGAACCAACCCTACTGACACCTTGATTTGGGATGTTTCCCCTCCAAAACTGTGAGACAACACATTTCTGTGGCTTAAGCCACCAAGTGTGTGGTAATTCATCATGGCGTCCCTAGGAAAATAAAATAGCTTATCACGAGCTGACAGAGGACAAACAGGAACCAGCTTCCGCCCTGGGGCAGAGTCCCTGAAAGGGCAGCATCGTGGGGAAGAGCTAGTATGAGAGTGACTGATACCACAAAGGCGGAGGGGGGTGGCCAGACAGCATTATTACCATGCTTCCTGCTGGGCAGAACAGGAGGCCAGCTCTTGGTGAGTGCCCGTCTATCTACCAGGCAAGCTGCTCTCAGAGAGGGAGAGAAGGTTTCATCTGACAAGCCTTGTTCTTTTTCAAACCACATGCATAATTACTTGGAACTCTATTTTCTTCACGGTTTGTGCAAATGGATTTTGTGGTGATTTTTTATTTTCCAGGCATTTTGGCAGCTCTGAGGGGGGAAATAAAAGAACCTCTTAATGCCAGCATGTGTCACTGGGGAAGATGAAGTGCGGAAAGAAGAGAAATATCCTTAATTAAAGCAGAAAAAAACAGAGGTTACCTGGGTCTCTAAAATACTACAGTGCTGGCGGTCCAATTCCTGGGGCCTTTCTTTGCCTCTCCGGGGATGTACCTTATTCTGTTGGATAAATTCTTCCAGTCTTAAAACCTAAAATGGAAGAAAAGAAATGCTTGGTAATGGAAACAAAGTCCCATCTCCTGATGGGGTCATTAATCTGGGAAACCATTCTCCTGGGTCAGTCAGTTCTGGGGACAGTGCTCCATTAGACAAATTCCAAATGTGCTTCTGGAAAGGGCATTTCTAATTGGCAAGTTGCTTCGTCTTCCTGGAATAGATGAGCCTATACTTCCTTTTAAATTATTTATATAAATACACTTATACTAGAGCTGCAGGGTGGTTTTCACTGGCTTTCATACCATTCCTGGAAGGTCACTGAATTTCTTTTTTTAAAAAGTTAGTTGGTAAAGAAAAGGAACAGTATTTAAGAATTATACCAATAAGGGGTGCCTGGGAGGCTCAGTTGGTTAAGCGGCCGACTCTTGAATTCGGCTCAGGTCATCTTACTGTTCATGAGATCGATCCCCATGTCGGGCTCTGTGCTGACAGCACAGAGCCTGCTTGGGATTCTCTCTTTCCTCTCTCCCACTCCCCTGCTCTTTCTCTCAAAATAAATATTAAAAAAAAGAATTATACCAATAAAATGAAACAGTGGCTAGAAGGTGCTATTAACTTGTATAGCCTTAATTATGATGATTATTATTAACCAATTAAGTGTAGAGTCTCAATTAAACAGACTGGCTTCTCTGTTCTAGACTTTGGGAAGAACAAGGCCTAGAACCATACAGGAAACTTAGATGTTGCTAACAAATCTTTGTAGGAAAGCTAGTCCTCCTCAGGCATCATGCCAGGTATGAGGAGATAAGGGAGAGGGACAGAGTGAGAGCAAGATAGTAAGAGAATAAAATATAGCCCATGCTTTCTAGGAGTTGTCATCTTATGGAGGAGGCAGATATATGTTTATAATCACAGCAACATTCAGAAGACAAACTAATAATAGTACCTTTGATGGTGAGTTTGCTCTGTGCCAGGAACAGATCTAAGCATTTGACAGTATAAACTCCTCTAAACCTCACAACAATTACTGGGAGATACATACTACTGCAGAGAATTTACAGCAATAAACTCTGCCGAGGGGAGTCCAGGGCAGCTTTATGGGCACTGAAGGATGAATAGGAGTCCATCCGTGGCCAGGGTGAGAAAGGACATTCCAGGTGGTAGGAATAGTAGGTACAATGGCAGAGGGAAGGTAGGATGTGTGTGAGAATTGGAGGAAAGTTCCATGTCAGGGGCCCAGCATGAAGGAGTGGATGGGAGAAAACAGAGTCCTGGGGGGTAGTGGCGGAGAGTTAGGTTAGGCCCAAATTATGAAAAACATGGCGATTAAAAGATTTGGGAGAAGGAGGAGTGGGGCCTTGAGCATATCTGGGGTTTAGAATGCTAGTTCTGGAATTAGCCAGCCTAGGGAGAAGGTAGAGGCAGGGAGATACAGGCCAAGACTTTCAAGACTCCAGGCAACATCACAGAAGAAGAAGAAGATTATGAAACTACTTATACTACATCTTGCTAAGGCTTATGAAATACTCAAATGAGTTCTATGCACTTGTTCACATAATGTCTATAAGAGGTAAAGAAAAACAGCCTAGGTGAGCCATCCTGGGGGGCTGATAAAGACAGGGGAGGGGGACTGAGAGCCTTCAGTGGTAGGACACACAGGACTTGACAGCTGAGTGGATGTGAGGGTGGGCAGGGCAGGGACTGTAGGTGAGGACGCAGGAGCAGGAGAGGAGGAGGTCAGGGCTGACGCTTCCATTTCTCGCTTTGGTAAGTGGGTGAATAGATGATGTCGCCACCAAGGCTGTGGAAGGAATGGAGGGTGACGGGCAGGCCTTTGTCAAGGTCAGCCTCTGGGTCACACCAGCCATCTGCAGATACTCATGTCCTGAGTGATCCTGGGGCATCAGAGACACAGCATACTGTGCTGCACATAGTGTTAGCATAACGGTTAAGAGTGGGGTCTTCAGAGCCGCATAACCTGGGTTGGAATCTGAGACCCACTACTCATTACCTGTGTGACTTTGAGGAAGTGACTTACCATCTCTGTGCCTCAGTTAACTCATCCGTAAACCACAGATCACAACAGCACCTACTGTGTGGCAGTTGTGAGGACTAAAAGTTGATACATGGAAACTGCTCAGATAGTACCTGAACTAAAGCAAGCACTTGACGAAACTCACTCTTGTCATTTTTTGAGGGGTTCTGAGGGGCATTCGGGGAAATCATCAGGTGGTGACCCCAGGGTCCCATGTCAGAAGGATAACTGAGCTGAAGCTTCTCTAAGTTCTGCAGCACAGAGTAGTCCAGATCCGGTGTAAAGATCGGCAGTATAACTCAGAAGGGAGGGAGAGAGGAGTGAGAGCGAAACGGGCATCTTTGCTGTGCAGCCAACTGGGGCTGAGGTGGAACCAAAGCCTCCGGAGCAGAGACTTCCCACCAGGACCTCTCCTCCAGAGCCCCTGATATATCAAGTTCAAGGCTTGGCACGTTCACCTTTTAGAAAAATGATAACTTGTGACATAGAAAAACCGAATGTGTTTTTCTCCCTTCATCACTCAGCTGAAGGGAGAACACATCACAGACACCGCTGCAGGCCCCTGAGCTTCTCCCTGATCCACCACCCCCTCTCCCTTCTAGAAATAGCCACCAGTTCAGGTTTTCTTCTCTCACCATGCATGTCTCCAGACCGAACTCCATTAGAGGTATCCTTAAACAATCCAGACTATTTTGCACATGGCTTCTATATTCTCAAAAACCCCCCTAGGAGGTTGTAGTGCTTGATCAAGGCTGAGGAACCAATTTCATGGGCTCCTGAGGGGATGGTGGACTCAGGGCTCATCTGGAATGTATGAAGGAGGATAGGGGAAGTAAGGAAACCTCTTTACATTTTTTGAGGGTCTAATTAGGCTCAAGAACGAAGCCGGGGGGCACCTGGGTGCTCAGTCAGTTAAACATCCGACTCCTGATTTCGACTCAGGTCATGATCTCACAGTTTGTGAGATTGAGCCTTGCGTGGCTCTGTGCTGACACCATGGAGCCTGCTTGGGGTTCTCTCTCTCCCTCTCTCTCTCTTCCCCTCCCCCGCTCATGCTCTTTCTCTCAAAATAAATAAACATTAAAAAAAAAAAAGAATGAAGCCTGTTTCCAGGCCCTCCCAAGAGTTCTTCCCCCACCATATCATGGTCAACAGGTCTTTTAAACTTTGACGTTGGTTTCTGGGTGGTCTGGGTAGGTGGACTTCCCCACCAAGCAAACTGTGATGTTCAGCTGGTCTACAGGCATTCTCTACCCCTTTCTCCCTTCCCTGCCTCCACTCGCGCCTCCCAGGCTGGTCACGTGATGCAGACATTACCAGTGGGAGGAAGAGTCAGTGGGAGCCCTCTGTGGAGGCTGGTGGTTTCCTGATGAAGTGGACAGGCCTGGTCTTCACTGCCTCTCCCCATCTCTTGGTGTAAATTTGGGCTCAACAGTGAAGCAGTGACAGTCATTTTCCCAGTCTGGGGGAATCTGAGCTAATTTCTCCATTAGACACAGAAGGCACAGGGCCTAGGGCCCACAATACTTTTAGGGGCCACGACAATGTTTTAATTTCTTTTAAAGTCAGAAGGTAAAAATACAGCTTGGCTATATTCATCTTCATACCAATGTAGTCATAAAATATGCTTTTTGAGGGGCGCCTGGGTGGCGCAGTCGGTTAAGCGTCCGACTTCAGCCAGGTCACGATCTCGCGGTCCGGGAGTTCGAGCCCCGCGTCGGGCTCTGGGCTGATGGCTCGGAGCCTGGAGCCTGTTTCCGATTCTGTGTCTCCCTCTCTCTCTGCCCCTCCCCCGTTCATGCTCTGTCTCTCTCTGTCCCAGGAATAAATAAACGTTGAAAAAAAAAATATGCTTTTTGATATTTTTTCCAGTAGAGGAAGGAGCCCATGAAGGCAAAGCACCTAATACTCCTGAAAGTGAGGACAGAGCCCAGGAGGAGGCAGGACTATGGGAATCTCAGATGTACCTGGCCTGATATAATTTAGCCACAGAATCAACCCCAGAAGCCTCCTGCCTCCTTCTTTTATGTGAGACATTAAACGCCTCTTTGTTAAGCCTCCATAAATCGGGCTCTCTGTTACTTGCAGCTAAATTTATGCCTCCTGAGACATATTTCTTGTCAGGACGAAGTCCTTTCCTTTCTGCTGAGGATGCTGAATGTACAGAAGTCGGGCCAGTTTTCTGAGATTCCTGGCATCTCAGTTAACCAAGACTCCCACCCAGAACCATCACTCCCAAGCACTGCATTAATTCAGGATTTACCTCGAGCAGAGAATTCTGGAGCTTCACATTTAGGGCTGTTTTCTCTTCTTCCAGCTGCTTGATTTCATTTTCTGATTTCTTCTTCACTTCCTCCAACTGTGCTTCTACTTCCTAAATGATGATTAGTAGAGTTATCCACACAAGTCACGAATGCATGGACAGGACATGTACCTATTCACACCCTGCCCTATTCCCAAAAGAGTTCAAAGAAGCTTACAATAAAGGTCACAGGATGCAAAATCAATACATAGAAATCTGTTGCATTTCTATACACTAATAGTGAAGCAGCAGAAAGAGAAATTCAGAAAACAATCCCATTTACAATTGTACCCCACAAAATAAAATACCTAGGTATGAATTTTACCGAGATGGAAGTTCTGTACTCTGAAAACTATAAAACACTAATGAAAGAAATTGAGGATGACAGAAACAAATGTAAAGATATTCCATGCTCATGAATTTGGAGAACCAATATTGCTAAAATGTCAATACTACCCAAAGCAATCTACATATTTAATGCAATTTCTATCAAAATACTGACAGCATTTTTTACAAAACTAGAACAAATAATCCTAAAATTTGCATGGAGCCATGAAAGACAGCAAATCACCAAAGTAATCTTGAAAAAGAAAAAGAAAACTGGAGGTATCACAATCCCAGATTCCAAGGTATACTAGAAAGCTATAGTAATCAAAACAGTATGGTACTGGCACAAAACAGAATAGAGAGGCCAGAAATAAACCCAGAATTGTATGGTCAACTAATCCTTGACAAAGGAGGCAAGAATGTGCAATGGGAAAAAAGACCATTCCTTCGACAAATGGAGTTGGAAAAACTGTACATCTAGATGCAAAAGACTGAAACTGGACCACTTTCTTATACCATACACAAAAATAAATTCAAAATGGATTAAAGACCTAAGTGTGAGACCTGAAGCCATAAATATCCTGGAAGAAAACACAGGCAGTAATTTCTCTGACATCTACTGTAGCAACATTTTTCTAGATATGTCTCCCGAGGCAAGGGAAACAAAAGCAAAATAAACTACTGGTATTAAATCAAAGCAAAAAGCTACTGGAGCACCTGGATGGCTCAGCCGGTTGAGCGTCCAACCTCAGCTCAGGTCATGATCTCATGGTTTGTGAGTTTGAGTCCCATGGGCTCTTGGCTAACAGCTCAGAGCCTGGAACCTGCTTCAGATTCTGTGTCTCCCTCTCTCTGCCCCTCCCCCACTCATGCTCTGTCTCTCTGTCTCAAAAATAAATAAACATTAAAAAATTTCAAAACAAAAACAAAAAGCTATTGCACAGCAAAGGAAACAATCAACAAAACTAAAAGATAACCTACTGAATGGGAGAAGACATTTGCAAATGACATATCTAATAAAGAGTTAGTATCCAAAATATATAAAGAACATACAACTCAACACCAAAACCACCCCCAAATAATCTATTTAAAAAATGGGAAGAAGAGGGGTGCCTGGGTGGCTCAGTGGGTTGACCATCCGACGTCAGCTCAGGTCATGATCTTGTGTTTGTGGGTTTGAGCTCTGCATTGCACTCTGTGCTGACAGCTCAGAGCCTGAAGCCTGCTTTGGATTGTGTGTCTCCCTCTCTCTCTGCCCCTACCCTGCTCATCCTCTGTCTCTCAAAAAATAAAACAAAATGTTAAAAAAATTTTTTTAAATGGGAAGAAGAGGGGCAGCTGGGTGGCTCAGTTGATTAAGCATCTGACTTTGGCTCAAGTCATGATCTCATGGTTAGTGAGTTAGAGCCCCACGTCGGGCTCTGCACTGACAGCTCAGAGCCTGGAGCCTGCTTGGGATTCTGTGTCTCTCTCTCTATCTCTGCCCCTCCCCTGCTTGTGCTCTCTCTCAAAAATAAATAAATAAACTTAAAAAAAATGAGAAGACATGAACAAATATTTCTCCAAAGATGACACACAGATGACTGACAGACACATGAAAAGATGCTCAGCATCACTCATCATCAGGGAAATGTAGATCAAAACCACAATGAGATACCACCTCATACCTGTCAGAATGATTTAAAAAATGCACAAGAAACAATAAGCGTTGCTGAAGATGTGGGGAAAAAAATGAACCCATGTGTACTGTTGGTGGGAATGCAAACTGGTGTGGCCACTGTGGAAAACAGCATGGAGGTGCATCAAAAAAATTAAAAATAGAATTGCCATATGATCTAGTAATTACACCTAGGTATTTAGCCAAAGAGTAAAAAACACCAATTCAAAGGGATACATGCACCCCTATGTTTATTGCAACATTAATTAAAAGATCCAAAATGGGGCACATGGGTGGCTCAGTTAGTTAAGCGTTTGACTCTTGGTTTAGGGTCAGGTCATGATCTCACGGTTTCATGGGTTTGAGTCCCACATTAGGCTCTGCTCTGACAGCATGGAGCCTGCTTGGGATTCTCTGTCTCCCCCTCTCTCCGACTCTCCCCCACTTGTCTCTCTGTCACTCAAAAATAAATAAATAAACTTAAAAAATAGCCAAATTATGGAAGCATCCATGTGTCCATTAATAGTTGAATGGATAAAGAAGATGTGCTGTGTGTATATATATATATATATATATATATAACTCAGCCATAAAAAAGAATGAAATCTTGCCATTTGCAGCAATATTGATGGATCTAGAGAGTATAATATTAAGTGAAATAAGTCAGAATGGCCATGACTTCACTCATATGTGGAATTTAAGAAACAAAACAAATATACAAAAAAAAAAAAAAAAAGAGAGAGACAAACCAAAAAACAGACTCTTAACTATAGAGAACAAACTGATGGTTACCAGAGGAGGTGGGTGGGGGGATGGGTGAAATAGGTGAAGGAGGTTAAGACTACATTTATTATGATAAGCACAGAGTAATGTATAGAATTGCTGAATTACTATATCGTATCCTGAAACTAATACAACACTGTATGTTAACTATATTGGAATTAAAAATTTTTTTAATAATTCATTTTTAAAAAGTTGCTGGGATGAGCAAGTCCAGAGTCAGCAGCATTTTATATAAACCATTACTTCATTCCTGACACCAATTTAATTTTGTACCTCAGCTCAGCTTTTAATATTACTTAAAGGAAATAACTGCAAAGTTATTAAATTCTACTTCAAGTTAAAAAAAAGAAACTTAATCATAAAATACTTCAGGAAAATAGAAATTAGAGATACATACGCAGGTCAAAAGAAAACAAATGTGAAGATAATACCCAAAATCTGACCTATATTGGAGAGGGCATGGTAGACACCCAGGTTTAAGTTTTGTAGTGTCAAATGAGAAAAGAGAGCGCTCATTGACACAACTCAGTGTTCCATAAGTCAAGAAGCCAACTACATTCTCAGATGCAGGGAAATATTAAAATCAGAACAAAGTTTTCCTGTGGTCTTCTCAATAGCTTCCATACTTTAGTCAAAATGATGAGGCTCACAGGGTTGCTTCCTCCACAGTTTCTCACCATAGACTGACAACCTCACATAGAAGATCCAGATAGAGGAACATTCTGGAGACCATGTGAGTGGCATAGCCTTTTATCTATGTGATCTGGAGCACATTTCCTAACTTCTCTGTGACTCAGTGTGTTCCTTCCATGCCCAGCACAGTGCCAGCAGGTGAGGGGTGGATAAATAATAAGTAGTGAGGGACCCATAAATAAGAAGTACTACTCTTATTCTGACAGATGCATAGTATTTCCAATTTAGCTTATTTTGAGGAAAAGGAGGAAATATTCTGTTACTCTTAGCTGGTCTTTATAAGTAGAAAACAGATCATTCATTCAACAAATACTTACTGAAACCTACCATGTGCCAAACACTGTTCTCAGAGCTGGGGATAAAAACAGATGAAACATTTGGACGCACCCCGCATGGGGCTCCACATCCACATATTTTCTCTCTTTATCCCTCTTCCCCCTTTATTCTCTCTCTCTCTCTCTCTCTCCCACACACACACACTCAAAAAGAAAAAAAAAAACGATGAAACATCTACTCACCAGGAACTTACATTGGCATAAAAGAGACAGGAATCAAAGTCAACAGGCTCAACATAGTATACACTATGTTGTATGGTGACAAGTGCCAAGGAGAAATAACAAAGCAGGAAAGGGGGCTATGGAAGGTCGAGGGGTTGGGTTCAGTTCACATAGGTTGGCCAAAGAAGTCCTCAGGAGAAACGACTCTGGAGTAAAGGCTTGTGTTAAGTGAGGAGGCTAACCAATGAGATGTCTTGGTGTGAGTCCTCCTGGACCTGCACAGACCCTGGCATGTTCTAAGCGCAGACAGGAGGCCACTTGGCTGGAGTGGAATGACCGAAGGGGTGGGCAATGAGGTTAGAGGACACGGAGGAGACCATAGGAAGCCTCATACGTTGTGGTAGAGACAGACGAGTAAGATGAAGGCCAGCCAACAGCTGGAAAGTAGAGTGAGATGATTCGGCGTTAACACGGTCACTTGGTTTCAGTCTTGAGGGCAGACTGAAGGGGGGATGGGGCAGGCGGGGCAGCAGGCAGGCCAGCATGGAGGCTGCTACAGTAACCAAGGCAGGAGCAGAAGGGGGCTGGACTGAGGCAGCAGCGTGGCTGGTGACGGGCATAGAACCACGGATGTTTTCTCAGTGTTTGCTGCAAGGACCTGCTGTAAAGGGAAGAGTCACGGACAACACCAGGGTTTCTAACCTGAGCGGGGTGGAGGAGGATGGTGCCACCATTAACACAGACAGGGAAGCAGGTTTACGGTCAGCAGGAGGAGCTCGGGGACCTGTTGAGTTTGAGACCTCTGTTAGATGTCCTGTGTGCAGGTGGACACATGGGTCTGGAAATCAGGGGAGAGTTCTGGATTGCAGGTATGCATTTGGGAGTCAGCATACAGAACGTATTACGCCATGTATTTGGATGAAAATGCTAGAGAGAGCATAAAAAGGAAAAGTAGGAGAGATTCAAGAACTGAGCCCTGGGACGTTCAAGAATTTCCCGTGAAGTTGAGGTTATAGTATCTGAGAGCTACCTGGAGTGTAGTTCTTCTATGCTGTCAATTGATTACAGACCTTTATGCTCTCATTGAGAGATGGCCATAGCAATAGCAGCTGACA